CTCACACCTTCTCATACTACCTTTCAATAGACACTTGTAATTATTTAGCACTATTATTTAAGTTTCTTCTTCAACTTCTGATTTGATTTTACAAATAACACATTCTTCCCTAGACATAAGAAGCCCTACCGGTCTAAGTTTTCTTTTCTGTTCTATAAAGTAACGTGTCCCTCAGAATCACAGAAAACTATACTTTTTATAATTGCCACCTTTCTCTTGCCATTTGCTTATTTTCTTAGTTTCTTCGTTTAATTGAATAAATTGACGTTTATCATTGTATAAGTGTGTTACTTTGCTACATTTATGTATTGTATTATGACTGACGATGTAGCAATGTTTATCACATTCCTTTTTTTTTTCTATAGGTTTACTATATTTCAGAGTTGAGGGATCTCTTAAAAGGTTTAGATAATGTAGTCCTTGGGGAAATATTTTCACCCATGTCAAGTCCTGCCCTTAATGAAACAGTTGTACAAAATAAGCAAACACATGTGTGAGGATCAAGAAGAATGTACAGCTGGACCTGCAGTATTTCACTGTACCAAACACCCTTACCAGACCCGTTCTCTCCATTGTGCATGGTCTTTTCCAACCTAGAGACATTAGTAGAAGAATAATGTTCATAGAATCCGTGGCTATAGATTTGAAAAAAAAATAGATTTAAAAGCATTTTTTCTAATTGCAATTATTTATTTATTTTTTTCAAATAAAAGCATCAGGTGATCCTACGGGTGCAATTCCAAAGATTTTATCAAAGCTTAGCATGTCTCCATTTAACAACCCTAATAGAACAAATAAACCCCAAATTGTTTCTCAAACCTGAAGCTAAAATCCACTAAATTTGACGAGCTCTCTCCATGGCTTTTGCAACATCTTTCATTTCTTGGATATTCTATCCAACATTTTTTTTAACTTAATAGAAACTTATATGAAGATCTGAGGCTGTACAGATAAACTGTTATATCTTAGAAAGTATTATAATTGACAAATTGAATGACATAGCTTTAGAGCTCCTTTAAAGACAGACATTAAAAAAATAATAAAAATAAATAAATAAAAAAATAAAAAGACAGACATTAAAGAAATATGATTCACAAACTCATTTCTACGTTTTAATTGATCTTGTTTGAATATTTGCGGAATTGATTGCAAGGATGAGTGACATATGCCTAATTTACACCTTCTCCCCTCTGACTTGGATCTAAAAGCCAGCTGGTTAGAATGACTTATTAAAGAATTTGATTTTCTATATGTGCTCTTCATATGATGAAATTAAATTATTTAAAATTTTCTATTCTTCTTTCTACATGACATAGCCTTAGAGGAAGTACTTCATGTATCATGTTGTAGCTACTAGCAACAGATATTTAAGTCAGTAAACATACTGGAAGGGGAAAATAAACCAAACGGATAATGAGAGGTTTTGTTTCTGCACCTTAGTAAGCTACACATGGCCCATGTGTAAATTATTTACCTACCTGAATTTCAGTTTCTACATTTATAGAATGAAAAATATTAGGGCAACCCCACAAAGCTTAATTTGAGGAATAAAGTAGAAAATATTGTAAAGTGTTTACTACTCTTTGTAGCTAGCATCTATTATATGCTATATAAATTATGGACATTGTTACTGATACAGAACTCTCATTCTAAGTATTCAAAATCTTAAACTCATTGTTCTCTAAAGAGCCTACATTATTTAAAGCTTTTGTTGCTTGGATTTGAAAATAAGAACTATTGTGTTAAACTGATAGTTGAAGTGATATCTTTGACTAATTAGGGCACTAAATTTTAAGATAAGTATTCATAAAATGTATATTCTATACATACTCAGTATGTGCATTATGATCAATAAATATTTTTTGAACGGGATGAGCACTGGGTGTTATTCTGTATGTTGGCAAATTGAACATCAATAAAAAATAAATTCATTATTAAAAAATAAATGAATAAATAAAAATAATAAATATTTTTTGAGATAATAACCTGGAAAATATGGCATATAAGGGTGAAAATAATAACTGTGTATTCAAAATTAAATGTTCTGAAAATAAACTGATGGGAATAGAATTCTAAAAACTCAGACTTTCACCTACAGTCTATAATATTTATTTTAGAAAATAGTATAAAAGTTCATATCAATGCTAAGAAGCAATAAAATATGGAAAAATAGTACCTGATTAGAGTCAGGAAATCAGATTTTATTTCCCATCCAATCCTTCCACCTCAAGCTTTTCTATTAACTCTCCAGCTATGAATTTTCTGCAATTGATTAATTTTTCTATGCATAGTCTCCTCACCTAAAGAAACAAAAAGGAAGATATTACTTCTAAAGATTTCTAGGATAATGTTTAGTCCAAAATATCTATGATAAATGTTATGATGAGTGATACTCAGGTCTGGGCATATAGTATCAATACCAAGGGTGTGGTAAAAGTTGAAGAGAGATACTAGAACCAGAGAAAGATTTGCAGGGGAATATATATGTGTAATCAGGTGAGAATTGGGTATAGTTAGCTGATAGTTTTGTTGAGAAAAATAAATAATTCCAAGTATAAAATACAGGAAATAACATCTCCAGATATGATTATAGTTTTATATTTAACTATCTTCAACCTGTGGGAAATATATAAGCTAAAAAATTTAGAGTGGCTTATTGACTTGAGCAAAATTCAATTAAATGATCTGGTGCTTCAATTTCTTCATCAGTAAAAAGCAAATAAAAATATATACCATTAAAAAATTAAAATATATATATATTTTATGTATATATATATATACACACACACACACACCATTGAGGAGCATGATATAAAGTGATATCGATGATGCCTGTTGGTAACTTGTAAGAACTCAACAGGTGCCAGCTATTATTCTCCTTCTCTAGATAGACTGAAATTTTTCTTTTGAGGGGAAGGTAGAAGGAAGAATTGGTTTCACTGACCACCATTGTAGGGTTTCAACACTTGTCCCATAGCAGACACTCAGTAAGTGTAAACTCATAGGCTCGGCTGTCAGCATTGATAGAATTTTACCTCTGGTTACGCAGCCTTTGAAATTTTCATGATTCTATTTCAGTCTCTATGGAACTGTGATTGAGACTGTCAGCCAAGACTAATGAGAATACGGAGAAGAATTTTTATTAACTTTTAAATAGTTTTCCCAGTCTTTCTGGAGAGCCACTGGTGGTGAGTCAGCATGCTATTTTTTGTATGGCTATCAAGTCTGGGTTTAGAATAGAATCTTTGGTTGTGACAAGCCTCATTTATATAACATTTTATATAATGCTAAAATGGCATTTCAATTCATATTGTATTCCAGAAAAAAAAAAGTACTTCTGAAGAAAAGAACAAAAGAAGCTAAGGGGAAAAAAATTACTACTTGAAAATAACTACATATCTTCATAAAATAAATGGAGTTTTCAATAATATGTTGTCCAAGAAAGCCATAAATTAGGAGCTTAGCCAGCTCATAATCTAGTCCTCATTAATAACTATCTTTTTACAGACAAATTTTTATCTAATTGGTGGCTTAATTAAGAGGAAAATTTTTGAACCAGACTATCTTCAGCATCCCTCAAAAACACTGTGGAAACAATTCTCATTACATTTCTTCCTCCCTTTGATATTCATGACCACCTATTTGCTTCAGAGAAATTTTCAGGCTCAAAGGACAATGACATATTCTGAGCTTATAACTCCTAATTTCTTTTTTATTTCTATTTACCACCAAGGAAAAAGATTTCAATTTCTGTAATGGGATATTCTGTGTTTCAGGGCTTCTAAAACTTCATTTTCTTCTCCCTCTATGTTCATCTGCTTTGAGTGAAATCATCTGGTATTTATTTGTCCTTGGCTTCTAAACTTTCAGCCATCACAGTTAATCGATTAAGTTAAGCCATTAAGTTAATCAACTTAGGAATATATTAGGTAAAATAATTTGTTTGCTGTTACAGTAAAACTGTCTTGTGTGTGTATGTGTAACACACTGAACTTTGGAGTAGCAGCCTCTGAAAAATAGTTTTATTTCAGAATTTAAATCAAATATTTAAAAAATCACCAAAACACTAGTATATGTAATATAAAAATATTAAAAAGCCAAATTTAAAGATTTTATTTATTATTTATTTGAGAGAGTGAGTGAGAGAGCGTGCAAGCAGGAGAGAGAGCATGAGAGGGATGAGGGGCAGAGAGAGATAAGGAGAAGCAGGCTCCCCACTGCACAGAAGCCCAATGAGGGGTTTGATCCCAGGACTCTGAGATGATGACCTGAGCCAAAATCAGATGCTTAGCTGACTGAGCCACCCAGGCTCTCCAAAAAGACAAATTTAATGTATCTGTCTGGTCCCATCCAGATGTACTCAAGGATGGTAAGAAAAATCATAATTAGAATGATTTGAGAATAGTGCTGGGTGAAGCCTCTCCGAATGCCAGACAATTCACCTGGCTCATGACCACAGGACAGGCTAAAATAATTTCAGTTCCCAACTCAGTTGGGTATTGTTTTACCATGTAAGACATTCACAATTATAAACTGAGCTTAAGATATTATCATTTAGATAATTAGTACATATACAAACTTCCCACCGTAACAAGCTGTCTTCTCTTTAAAAATGATGTCTTCATGTCTTCATCATTTTCAGGTATTTTTCTCAGCATAGCACATACTTTGTATGTTACCCGTACTTTAAGTGTGAACTTTCCTGGCTGAGTGGAATAAAGGATTTATGGAAAGTCCATTACTATCAAAGGAAAACGAATTATTAATCTGAAACCCCTCACTAAAGGCAATGATAACTATATTCACCACATCTACAAAACAAATTAAGTCAGAAATGATGTCCCTTCCCGTCCTTATCTGAACCCAGCTAATCACATCACATATACCTATTATATACAAACATCACCTTTGTTCCAGTTAATTTATCTATATATTTATTTCTGTTTGTCAATTTTTAATTGTGAGATATATGCACAGAATAGTGAATAAAATCTAAATGAGTGCTCGCTTCGGCAGCACATGTACTAAAATTGGAACAATGCAGAGAAGATTAGTGTGGCCCCTACACAAGAGGGACATGCAAATTTGTGAAGCATTCCATGTTTTTCTGACCTCTACCTCCGAAACTGATAATACATTATATGTTAATTAATTGAATTTAAATTAAAAAAATAAAAATAAAAACTAGGAGAGAAATACCCAGCCTATTGTCAAATTTTTTTTTAAAAGCAGCTTGAAGTATAATATAAAAACACAACCATGTACCTACCATGCTGTTCATAAACTAGAAACTTTCCAATAACCTGATGCTTTTTCTTTTTTCTTTCCTTTTTTCTTTTTTTTCCTTTCCTTTTCTTTTCTTTTCTTTTCTTTTCTTTTCTCTTTTCTTTTCTCTTTCTTTTCTTTTTCAAGATTTATTTATTTCTTTGAGAGAGAGAGAGCATTAGCAGGGAAGGGGGCAGGGCAGAGGGACCAGCAGACCCCCTGCTGAGGGCAGAGCCTGAGGCTGAGCCCCAGGTCTGGCTCCACATGGGGTTCTATCCCAGGACCCTGAGATCATGACCTAAGCCAATCTCTCAGCTGACGGAGCCATGTAGGCGCCCCATCTTGATGCTGTTTTTTTATGATCACATCCACCTACCCCTCTTTAAAGTAATCACTATATTGACACTTGGATCACATTTAATTTTTACTTTGCTTTAAATATATTATATACATATATATATTAGTATATTTATATTATATATTTTGGTATCTATCCCCATTAAATAGTTTTCCTGTCTCTGAAGTTTATGCAAGGTGAATTACACCACACACAGTGTTTGTCTTCTTGGCTCTGTTGTATCTATTAAAGCTGTTTATACTATTATATAATTGTCGTTCATTCAATTTTGTTTTAACAGTGATGGTATCACTCTCATATTAACTTTAGATATGTTATTAAATATAATATCAATCTGAGTTTATTACTGATGGAGCTCAGATATGAATCTATGTAATCTGCCTCCAAGTATTGTACTTTTTAATTATTTTTATATGCACCATCTAACTAGACTATTTCATACTATAAAATAGCATGCTTGCCCATTCTGCTATTGATGAAGATGAATTTTCTCCTGCTTCCCCTATGACAAATGATGCAGTTATAGGGGCACCGGGGTGGCTCAGTTGGTTAAGTGCCAGACTTTGGCTCTGTTCATGATCTCACAGCCCTGGGATTGAGTCCAGTGGTGGGCTCCCTGCTTGTCCTTTTGCCCCTCCACTCTGCTTGTGCTAGCTCTCTTGCTCAATTAAATAAGCAAAATATAAAAAGATAATGCAGTTATATATTTTTTGTACAAATATCCTAGTGCAAATGTATAAGAATTTTACCTAAGGTATAAATTGATGACTGAAATTGATAGACTGTAGGATATGTAAGAATGCAGATTTATTAGATGACTTCAAACATTTTCCAAAGTGGCAATAACATTTTGTACTTATGATAGCATATGAATGTTCTTGCCCTTCACTGTAGCCAAATTAGAATTTTATTATTTTTTTTTCCATTTGATGTGTGTGTAATCGATTTACTTTGTAATTTTAAATTGAATTTTTGCAACCTGGTTAATGTCTTTTCATTTGTTTATTGTCTAATTGGATTTCCCCTTTTGTAAAGTGATCATTTAAGGCTTCTGACTACTTTTAAGTGGGTTCTCTATCTTTTTTCTAATTAAATGTAGGAGTTTTCCATATATTTTATTTATCAGTTTTTTTTGTTGCTTATGTGTGTTGCAAACATTTGTTCACACTCAGTGTTTTTCTACATCCCTTTATAGAGGAATGATTTTTTAATACTATTGAATACTTTAATCAGGGGCATCTGGGTGGCCCAGTGGTTGAGCGGCTGCCTTCGGCTCAGGGAATGACCCTGGGGTCTTGGGGTCGAGTCCCACATCGGGCTCCCTGCAGGGAGCCTGCTTCTCCCTCTGCCCATGTCTCTGCCTCTCTCTATCTCTGTCTCTCGTGAATAAATAAATAAAATCTTTAAAAAAATAATAATAATTCAAAAACTAAAAATCATTAAGTTTATTGAGGAAGGCATGTCGAAGACTGAAAGCTAGGCATCTGGCACCAGTTGCCAAAAGTATGAATGCAGAAGAAAAACTCTTGAAGATTAAAAGTGCTAAACTTAAAAAAAAAAAGTGCTAAACTCTAGTGAACACATGGAAGAAAAAAGAAAGTAAAAACACCTGGGAACCTGGGTGGCTCAGTGGTTGAGCATCTGCCTTCAGCTCAGGGCATGACCCTGGGGTCCTGGGATCAAGTCCCACATCGGGCTCCTTGCATGGAGCCTGCTTCTCCCTCTGCCTGTGTCTCTGCTTCTCTCTGTGCGTCTCTCAGGAATAAATACAATCTTCAAAAAAAAATGAATACTTTAATATTTTCTTTTATAATTAGTAATTTTGTTTTAAGAAACCATTTCTTACTCTGAAATTATGAAGATGTTCTTTATTATTCTCTAAAATATTCATAATTTTGTCCTTCACTTGTAGAACTCTGATGTATAAGGAACTGATTATTATTATTATGTATGGTGTAAGGTAGTGACACAATCTAATTCGTTTCATATGTGAATATCGAGTATTCTAAGAGCTTTTTATTTAGAAGTCTACTTTTTAATCAATGGTTTTTAGTACCATCTCTGTCATGTATCAAGTGACCATGTGTGCGTGGTACTGTTTCTTTTCATATGTCATTGTTTTTATCAGCACTTATTCTTCTTCAAGGGTTCCTTGGCTAATGTCAGCAATTTTAACTTCCTAATCAGTTTTCAAGTCAACTTTCAATTCAATTTTTCTACTTTTCCCAATTTATATTTTAAAATAAATATTGTAGGGATCCCTGGGTGACACAGCGGTTTGGCGCCTGCCTTTGGCCCAGGGCGCGATCCTGGAGACCCGGGATCGAATCCCACGTCGGGCTCCCGGTGCATGGAGCCTGCTTCTCCCTCTGCCTGTGTCTCTGCCTCTCTCTCTCTCTGTGTGTGACTATCATAAATAAATAAAAATTAAAAAAAAAGTTTAAAAAAATAAAATAAAATAAATATTGTACAATACAGGTGCCATTAATATTACTAGTAATTAGTTTCTTCAAGGTATCGGTATCTTTGTAAGGAAGTTGAAACTGGCTGCTTTTAATTAAGGCAACAATGAGGGACATCTGCTTATCTAAGGATCCTAACTCATGAAATAACTTAGGAAGGACTAATGCATTCTTCAGTTAGATTATTTTCATATTCATAAGCACTTTGCACAAATGTAGGGGACAGGGTATAGGTATCTTTGAAATTGTCATGATATGAGCATAAAATAATTGCTTTCACTAGTCTTTTTGGCATTTTTTTGTCTTCATAAAGTTATACTCATTGATACATTGTAAATGTTTAACTATTGGCTCTTAGGATTGGGAGGGGAAGCCCTAATTTGCAATTTTTGCTGGTAACTATGGTATTAACATCCAAACTTCCAAAGTGATATCACCAAATAAGGATTTGAGAAGAGATACTCAAAACCAACTCTCATAAACATCTATGAACCATTTTCAGCATCGCAGTGGTTACAAATGTTACTTAATGTTAATGAATTATCCACTTATCTACCCATTAATTCTGGTTATCCCTCTTCCAGACAGTAGACTGAGTCGAGCTTTCTTGTTCCCTTGTGGTTGAAGGAGGCCTTGTGATCACCTCTGGTCAATGTGGGATCCCAGGGGTGGTATGTATCACTTTCAGGTATTTGTCTTCACAACAGCCCCCAGGACTCTTTTCCTTCTACCAGAGTCATAATCATCTCGCAGATAATGTCTTATTACCACTTTCAGTCCTAGAGTCAAGGTGAAAACTGAAGGAACAAAATTGGTTGATGGTAGATATATAAAGTGAATGAGAATTAAATCTTTATCATGTTGAACCACAGAGATGTCAGGATTGTTTTGATATTGTGGTATGACCTAATCTATCCTGCCTGATAAACTTATTATCAGTGATTATAAAAACATCTTTACATTCATACATTTTGAAACACTAAATAAGTTTGTATCACACATTACAATTTGATTAAAAAAATAAATTTCCAAATACCAGTTTGATACGGTCAACCTGCTCTGTTCACCTCAGACATTCTGACCCCAGTAGGTATTTTTTCATCTTACCTTTTTGCCAAAACTATCAATCTGATACTGTTTCAGCAATTCAAGAGAGAGAAAATGTTTTTAATTACTTATTTACCTTCACCTAAGGGTTTATATTCTTACTATGTGGCTAAATATTGTATGGAAGTGCTATTAATTTAATCAAATTTTTGCTTTATATTCTGTGATGTAAACATAGAGCATGCTTGACTTGTTTTTTATGGCACCCACCAATGCTGAACAGCATTAAAATAAATAAGGACTGGGACGCCTGGGTGGCTGTCAGTTAAAAGTCTGGTTTTGGCTCCAGTCCTGATCATAGTAGGGTCCTGGGATCAAACGGCCAATAGGCTCCCTACTTGGCTGGGAGCCTGCTTCTCTCTCTCTGCCACTCCCCCTGTTTGTGCTCTCTCTCTCTCTCAAATAAAAAAATAAAATCCTTGAAAGAATAAGTAAGTTAGGACTTTGAAGATGATTTGTTATCATCTAAATAAAAAACATGAAAAAATTAAAGAAAGACAGTAAACTAACTGATGGTATTCCTGACTGATATGTGAATACAATGGATTATTGTAACTTTCTGAACCAAAAAAAAAAAAAGTAAATTCAAGCAAAATTATATCCATAAAGCCTGAAGTTTTTAAAGTATAATTATTATCTGTGTTAATCATGCCTTTTAGGAATAGAGATCACCCTCTCCTCAACCTGTGTACCGTGATGACTGTCTAGGCTGAGGGGCATTATCCGCTGAGTTTGAAAATTATCATACTTCAAAAAAAAAGGTTGGTCAATTCCAGATAACCCCCTTTGTTTGTTTATAAAAATGGCATGTGTGAAAGAAATGGGTCTACATACAACCCTGTGAAAGTGTAAACCAATACTGAAGACTGGGTTTAGGGATACCTGGGTGGCTCAGCGGCTGAGCATCTGCCTTTG